TACGCCTTTTCCTAATCCTAAATGCCACAATAGACCTCTTTAGGCCTTAATGTTAAATACTGTTCACGTATATGTTCACTGGAGAAAACCCTGGTCCTACACACCCCTAACCTTTCTAAAAGCACTCATTGTTCATCTGCTATCCTAGTTCTCCGTCTTACTCTTAATTCTTTTCCAAGTATAACTCTACCATACACTTTACCAGTACACTCTACAGACTTATTCCCCCTATAATTTTTAGCCTCTCTTTATCCCCCTTTGCCTTTATACAAAGGAAAAAAAACTATGCATGCTTCTGCCAAATCCCTAGGTACCTTACCTCTTCCATACATTTATTAAATAATTGCACCAACCACTCCAAAAACTATATCCCACCTGCTTTTAACAATTTCTATTCTTATCCCTCAATCACGGCTTGCCTTACCCCCTTTCATTTTAACACTATTATATATTTACAAGTGTACAGGAACCTGAGTGTTCCTTGAGGTGGATGACCAAAACACTTTGTGGACCCGGTGGCCTGGTTGTAAAGCTCTCGCTTCAACACGGAGGGCCCGGGTTTTGTATTCCGCGGCGGGTGGAAACATTTGGCACGTTTCCTTTACACCTGTTGTCCTTGTTCACCTACAGCAAATAGGTTCCCTGGGTAGTTAGTCGACTGGTGTGGTCGCATCTGGGGGACAAGATTAAGGACCCCAATGCGAAATATGTTAGACAGTCCTTCGATTGAGGCATGACTTTCTTGGGTTATCCTGGGTGGCTAACCCTCCGGGCGGGTTAAAAATCCAACGAAATCTTATCTTATCTATATCTAACTACATGAAATAAGTCACCCTGACTTTTTTGGGTTATCCTTAAAGATTTATAGTATGCGTTTCTATTGTATGATAATCTACGTAATGTATTTCCTGTAGACCTTAATTAAACTTACTCAAGTGCATGTCGCTTCATAAGAAGTTATTTAGTTATACACAAATAAAGTTACATAGAATATCTACTTACAAGCATCTGGTTTGGAGAAAACTAGGATAACCCAAAAAAAGTCAGACAGACTATTCCATTAGGGTCCCTGTACCCAGTACCATATGGTTATCATGTACCATATGGTTATTATAATGTACCATTTTGGTACAATGTAATATATGGTACATTGTACTCATTGGTACCATTGTACCATTATGATACATTGTAACCATATGATTACCATTGTACATATGGCACATGGTATCCATATGGTTCAAAAACCATGAATTCGTCTCAGCTCCACTTCCATCAGTATTAGACTTTAAGTGTGAAAGAGGAAAGAGGATTAGTCAGAATTTCGCCCGGAGAGTGAGTGGGGAGTGAGATCTTCCTTGCAGCCAGGCACTATGAACAAAGCTACTTTGGCGGCGTTCCCACAATGCCATGCGGGCGTGCAGATTTTTTCTATGGTGTGCACACTGACCACCCAGACCCATTCTTTCAGATGTAGGGCCTACCAGCCTTCTGTGCTAAATTTGGCGCCGCTAGAATTTTGGCGTAGATCTACGGTTTGGACCCTGAACGTAAAGCCATAGATCTACGGGACGGACCCTGAAAGGGTTAAGAAAGCCTAGGGAACGATTGGATTTGTCAGTTAAAAAAGAGTAGGGGAGTTACTTGATGGGGAGCTGGAGGTATTGGGTAGATGGCCGGAATATTTTGAGGAACTTTTAAGTGTTGATGAAGAAAGGGAGGCGGTAATTTTATGCACTGGCTAAGGAGTTATAACATCTTTCAGGAGTAAAGAAGAGCAAGATGCTGAGTGTGGGGGCGGTGAGCGAGGCTATTACGTATGAACGAAAGGAATGGTAAGTAGCTGAAAACCGGACAGGATCATAACTGGAAATGTTAAAAGGAAGGGGGGATGTAATTAGTGTTGGAGGAGTGATTGGTTTTTTTGTGTACTAACTGTATGAAAGAGAGGGAAGGTACTATGGTGACTGGCGAGAATGTGTACAGTTCCGTTGATATAAAGGAAAAGGGGACAAGAGAGATTGTAAAAAATTATAGGGAATATGTTGTACCGAGTATACCGGTAAGTGTATTGGTTAGGGTTATTTACTGAAAGAATTAGAGGCAAGGACAGGACTGCAGGACTGCAAATGAACAAGGAGGAGGAGGCTCTAGAATGAGTTGATGTGTAGATCAAGCATCGTTACTTTGAAAGCATATATGTGAACAGTATTTAGAAAAATGTGTAGGAAGTTTTCATTGCATTTATGATTTCAGAAAAAAGGAATACAATAGTGGTATTTGAGACATTTGCAAGTCGGTATGGGATTAGGTAGCAAGGCACCTAAATGCTGCTAAGAGTTTTTACGAGGATAGTGAGGCTCAGGTTAGGGCGTGTAGGAAAGAGGGAGATTACTTCCCAAAAAAGTAGATCTTAGACAGGGATGTGTAATGTCACCATGGTTATTCAACACAATTTTTAGATGGGTGTTATAAAAGAAGTAAATGCTCGGGCATTAGAGATTGGGGTGGGAAGATAAAATTCTGCGGGAAATCAAATACAAAATGGGAGTTGACAAAGCTGCTTTTTGCTGATGATACTGTGTTTTTGGCAGTCTAAAAAAAATTGCAAAAGATAGTGGAAGAGTTTGGGAGGATGTGTAAAGGTAGAAAGTTGAAAGTGAAAATTTATAAGAGTAAGAGTGATTAGCGGTTCATATAATATTAGATAAAGATAAATTGAGATATCACATTAGAGGGAGGGAATATGGAAGAAAAAGAAGTGAATGTTTCTTGTATTTCGGGAGTTGATTTGTCAGCAATGTGTTTATGAAAGGATAGTGGTTTAAGCAGAACTGATGAAGGAATAAAAGGTGATGTGGTAGCACCGAAGTATCTGTGGAGGACAGAAAAAGTTTCCATGGAGTCAAAAAGGGAATGTACGATATTATAGTGGTTATCCAACACCTTATATGGTGTGAAGAGGGTTGTTGTAAATGCTTGCAATCAATGGTGGAGGCTGGATGGGCAGTGAGATGTCATGTCTAAGGGTTATATGGTGGTGTAAATATTATGAGAGAATTCGTAGTGTGAAATTAGGATGAGGTGTGGTGGAGTTACTAAAAGGTTGTTAGTCAGAGGGCCTGAAGAGGGGTTGTTGGGGATGGTAGTTGGTCATTTAGAGAGCACTGAAAAAAGTAGAATGGCTTACAGTAGCGTATAAATCTGCAAGGGAGGAAGGCAGGGTAGGGGTCCATGCTCGAAAAGTTTGGAGGTTAGGAGCGGTGCGGTGGTAAAGGAGGTTTTGTGGGGGGTGAGGGGCTTGAATTCCAAGGCAAGCGTACATGGAGTGTGTCAAATAGGAGTGAATGGAGCGATGTTTTTTGGGACCTGAATGAGCAGTTTTGGAGTAGTGAGCAGGGTAATATTTTGTGAAGGGATTCAGGGAAACAAGTTAAGTCTGACTCGAGTCCTGGAAGCAGGAAATACATTGCCTGAACTTTAAAGGAGGGGTTTGGGATACTGGCAGTTTGGGGGACATCTAAACTGTCGTATCTGGGTGTCTGTGCAAAGACAGCGATTATGTATGAGTGGTGGGGAAAGTGTTGAATGATGTTGGAAGTTTTTTTCTTCTTTTTAGGGGTCCTCCTGCCTCGGTGGGAAATGACTGACGTGTTAAAAAAACTAAATGAGAACTCCTGATTTGTTGGGGTGAAAATTTGGTGTCTGAGAACCTCTGTATGAAGTCCTACCATCACAAAACTTTATAAGAAAACTTTGTCAAAAAGATAAAACAAAGGGGAGAGCCAAGAAATTCAGAAATCACTGTTCTACCCTGTATCAGTAGACCACCCTAGTTTATATGCTATGATACCTGCTTAATGCTAGCCAAAGACACTGCACTCTGCCAGCAGGCAGAGTGCAGTGCCACCCAAACATACAATTCAAGGAAGTCTGTGAACCAAAAATAAGTTCACTGTGGGTTTGGGTAGCAAATATATGAGCAAATCCAAACCCGCCTGCAAGCTGCATTGGAGACTGTTTTACTAGCAAATTAATTCAGTTCACTCAAAAAGCTTGCTCTACAGTCATGGTCAACTTCCAGGTAGAAAAAGTATAACAGGCCTCTATGCAAGGAAAAAATAATAGGGATAGTGCTTGCAAATCTTAAGAGCCACCCTGTAGGGAAAATGTGGCTACTGTCTACAATAAAGTCTTGTCCTTGTGTAGCATTTTGATTGTTAAGGGAGAAAAGCTAGCATATGAGAGGTTTTTACAGAACAGAAGTGACAAGGAGAGTGGAGTATATGGAGAGCAAAAGAGAGGTTAAGAGAGTGAATAATAAAGGGGTGTAAAAGGAGACCAAATACGATGATCTGGGTGAGATTTGTTGTCAAAAATTATTGCGAGATAGATCCTTTGTTTTCTCTTGCCATATTATTTCAACATACATATATTTATTACTATATACAAACACTAATTGTGCAATTACTATATGCATTAATTTTGTATTGAACACTATTACCTTTTCATAAAAGTAACTTAAAAATAAAAACACACCACTTACCGCGTTCTGTAACCCCCTCCATTTCTGTAGCGTTGCTTTCTCTCTTTCCTCTTGTAAAACCATAACCTTCTCTATTTCAGTCTCTTGAAAATCCTTCTGTTCTCTCTGGTTGTTCAAAAAACTTATTGTGGCCCCATCTTCCATCTGGTGTTGGTTGGGTGAATGAGCGATCTCTCTTTCTCTGATACCCCCCACACCAACCCCGGCTCGTTCATCTGAGAAGAATTTGACCATGCCTTCTCTTTGGACCATTCTAAAGCTAGATGGATTTTGTGATCTGTGATCTCTTCTTGTATGTTCCCTTTCATATGATCTTGAGCGGTCTTTGTAATGTCTGCTATGAATTTTATTATTTGTTTCTGCTTTGTTTGGAGTCCTTGCCCTCTTTTTAATCACGATCTCTCCGTCAGCTGAACTTTCTCCTTTTGATTGTATATGATCGTTAAATTCTATGTTCTAGTTTTTGAATACGAGCCTGATCTAGAGCGTGATCGTGAACTGGACCCAGACCTACTTTTCTTCTTTGATTTGGAGTCTGCATTATACATTTTTTCATGTGATCTGCGTTTTTTCTCATGAGACCTTGATCTACGATTTCTATCACGAGATTTAGACCTATGATTCCTGTCATGTGATTTTGACCTATGACTTCTATTATGCGATTTGGACTGATAAATTCTATCCCTTGATCTTGATCTGCAAGCCCTGTCCCGTGAGCCCAATCTGTTTTTCCTAGGATCAGATTTTCGTGCATTCTTGTCTGGCGTTCTTGAGTGACTACTCCTGTGTTTAGACTGTGATCTGGATCTACACTTTTCTCTGTTTATAGGACTTTTTTTCCCACCAGATGCAGGAGTGTGATTCTTATTACAAGCGTTTTTCTTGCTGGACAGCAATGGTGATTTTCGTTTAAGGCTTGAATCGTCGCTGTCATCACTGTCACTACTGCTATGACCCATTTTGCCTGTAATAAGAAATTTTTGGCAAGTATATTCAAAATACAGGAGAGAAATTCACTAAATTTTTTGTCAACATAAAAAATCATCAGAAAATGAATTCACACTATTAGTAGTGTTGTACAGTACATAAATTATAATTCAAAAGACTTTTTAACCAAATGCTACTGTACCAGCCTCAACACCACTTCGTTAATGTTGAGTTTAGGGGCTCGACAACTTTTAGGTAACTTGTCGAATATTAAATGGATTATGTAATAGTGGCAGTTATGCTTTGAATCTATGAGGAGAGTTTTTTTGGAAACTAAAAAAACAACATAACATCACTTTACCTAACAGGTTAAAGTGGTGCTATGTTATGTTTCAACAACACTTTACCTAGCAGATAAAGTGGTGTCGAAGCTGGTAAAGGGGTGCTGAGACTGGTAAAGTGGTACTGAGGCTACTAAAGTGATGCTGAGGCTACTAAAGTGATGCTGAGGTTACCAAAGTGGTGCTGAGGCTACTAAAGTGATGCTGAGGCTACTAAAGTGATGCTGAGGCTACCAAAGTGATGCTGAGGCTACCAAAGTGGTGATGAGGCTACTTAAGTGATGCTGAGGCTACCAAAGTGGTGATGAGGCTACTTAAGTGATGTTGAGGCTACCAAAGTGGTGCTGAAGCAGTGGTGCTGAGGCTACTACAGTGGTGCTGAGGCTGGGTTGTACTAGGTCAACCTACATAATGCACTTTTCATGTGCCCGTAACATCTCTGTGCCCTCAAGACCATCGTGAAAACAAAAAATGGTTCACGTCACGTACCCAGTAATGCTAAAGCTAAACTTACTTACGTGAGGCCTGGCTGGCTCAGACCTGAGGCTGGGCTCACACACCACCTCTCACTGACCATTACTGCAGGCTCCTGCTCAGTGTGGTGTGTGCTGCTGGGGTAGTGTGGTGTATGAAGAAGGTGTGTCGAGGGTATGAGTGCCTCAACACCACACTGTGTGCCCACCTACCAGTATATAAGTGAGAGCCAGGCTGCCTCTCGGATGTAAACAACCACCACAAGGCAGACACCGCTGGCTTACACTAAACTCAGTTTTTTGAGGTTAACAATTGTATTGCATAATAAAATGTGTATAAATTACGTAAAAAACCTTCAGTGGTCTATTTATATTGTTTACGATCTATATATATTATAATAATAAGGTAAAAGGACCCCAATGGAAATAAGTCAGTCTGACTTTTTTGGGTTATCCCAGGTTCTCTACACATATGCTGCTATGTATGATAATTCTATGTAACTGTATTTGTGTATACCTGAATAAACTTACTTACTTGCAGTGGTCTCGAGGACACATGTTATTGGCGCACAAATATTACATAATTGTATTTTTATAATAATATTATAATGATTTATTCTAGAATAACCCAATAAAGTCACACATTGTGACTTATTTCCATTTTCTTACTTTATTATCTCCCAATTTCGTATACGATTGAATGTGATGAATTGTTATTGTTAATAATCAAAACTGCAATTCTTTTCTACTAAACCTACCTGGAGTTCATTACCTTTGTAAATTGTGAGTTCATTACCTCTGTAACTTGCTCAGCTATCAAAACTTTGGAGTCCAGTCCCTGGACCCATTATGTACCTTTGTAATCTTTTGACTACCGCCCACAGGATGGGTATGGGGTGCATAATAAACATATTAAACTAAACTTTCTACTAAACTTATTTATTTATTTATTTATTTATTTAATAATTTGAACATACATACAGAATTACAAAAAAATACAGGTAAGAGCAGCATGCCAAAGCCACTTGTATGCATAGCATTACGGGCTGGCTTAAAATTAACTTAAGATTAACTAAGCAATGATGTAATCAGTGATAAAACTTTCTCTTATAGTATGTTTAAAAATATTTTTTTTCATTTATGTTAATGTAAAAACTAATAATTTTGTACCAAAGAACCTTAAAAAAACTTACCTAACCATATTATAACACGCGCAATTTAATTTACCTTAATCCAACTAAATATATTTTAGATAATTTTACAATAATTTAATAAGAAACAAACACAATGAAATATGTTTTTTTGTTAGGGTCAGAATGATTTTTGTTAAATTATTGCATACGCAAATTTTCGCTTGCCTTATTCGACATGAAAATCGTTGCTCTTTAAGTCAAAATTGTAAGTTTTGCCCATTAGGTATATATATATATATATATATATATATATATATATATATATATATATATATATATATATATATATATATATATATATATATATATATATATATATATACATTCTGGGCACGCGGCCCACCGCAGGGGAGCTGGACGAAGTATTCGAGATGTAGCTCTGAGTTACCTATGTTGTTTTACTTTGTATCATATTTTTGTGAATGTTTTGTCAATGTATTTTGTCTTTAAATAAAATATATATACATAATATAGGGGGTGGTAGGAGAAAATTCTCAAACAGCTTCAGGGAGAATCTTGAGTTTTCCCAGAAGCAAGTTTATTCTTTTCTCTGAGGATGAGGGTCCCCATAACAGTTCTAGAGGTGGTACCTCCCTATATTTTATATATATATATATATGCCTCATGGTGAGCGAAAATTCACGACGCTCTAATCCACTGGATCATACAGTCCTACAAAGATCATGCACCCAGCAGAGCTAGGTGTTGTACCGTGATGTGAGGACATACGATGGTGTGGGTGCCTCAGAGCTAATGTCATTCTACTTCCCGTTTGGTGTACTAGCCTCCACAAGCAATATATATAGTATTGTAACCACAAACAAATGGTATTTAATACCACTTCGTGGTTACAATACTATATAATTGGTATATATATATATATATATATATATATATATATATATATAATGTTAGACGAGTTTGGGAGTGTGTGTAAAGGTAGAAAGTTGTAAGTGAACATAGATAAAAGTAAGGTGATGAGGGTATCAATGATTTAGATAAAGAAAAAATGGATATCACATTGGAGAAAAGGAGTATGGAAGAAGTGAATGTTTTTAGATATTTGGGAGTTGACATGTCAGTGAATGGGTTTATGAAGGAAAAGGTTAACCATAGAAGTTATGAAGGAAAAAAGGTGAGTGGTGCATTTAGATATCTGTGGAGACAAAAAAAATGTTATCTATGGAGGCAAAGAAGGGAATGTATGAAAGTATTGTAGTACCAACACTCTTATATGGGTGTGAAGCTTGGGTGGTAAATGCAGCAGCGAGGAGACGGTTGGAGGCAGTGATGTCCTGTTTAAGGGCAATGTGTGGTGTAAATATTATGCAGAAAATTCAGTGTGGAAATTAGAAGAAGGTGTGGAGTTAATAAAAGTGTTAGTCAGAGGGCTGAAGAGGAGGTGTTGAGGTGGTTTGGTCATTTAGAGAGAATGGATCAGAGTAGAATGATATGGAGGGCGCATAAAACTTTAGGGGAAGGAAGGTGGGGTAGGGGTCATCCTCGAAGAGGTGGGAGGGAGGGGGTAAAGGAGGTTTTGTGGGTGAGGGGCTTGGACTTCCAGCAAGTGTGTGTGAGGGTGTTAGATAGGAGTAAATGGAGACAAATGGTTTAAGGGACTTGACGAGCTGTTGGAGTGTGAGCAGGGTAATATTTAGTGAAGGGATTCAGGGAAACCAGTTATTATAGATTTAGCCGGACTTGAGTCCGGGAAATGGGAAGTACAATGCCTGCACTTTAGAGGAGGGGTCTGGGATATTGACAGTTTGGAGGGACTATAATTTCTGAACTGTCATATTTGCGTGCCTCTGCAAAGACAGTGATTATGTATGAGTGAAGTGAAAGTGTTGAATGATGATGAAAGTATTTTCTTTTTGGGGATTTTCTTTCTTTTTGGGTCACCCTACTTCGGTGGGAGACGGCTGACTTCTTAAAAAAAAAATATACAGTGGTACTCCGAGTTTTGGCCATAATTCGTTCCAGAAGGCTGTTCGAGTGCCGTTACTGGACAAATTTGTTCCCATGAGGAATAATGTAAATTAGATTAGTCCGTTTCAGACCCCCAAAAATACACTTACAAAAGCACTTACAATAATACATTTACGTAATTGATCGAGTTGGGAGTTGTACGAAACTCGAGGTACCACTGTATAGTGTATTCCCCCGTGTGTACATTTAAATTTTTATAGATAAAAAATGTATATTAGTATACATTAAAATATTATTATTGAAATTATTTGGTAAAATTTAGAATTTTCAGAGCACTGTGACTTTCTCAAGCATTTTTTTTGTCCCTAAGCAATGAAGCACTGATTAAAATGAAGAGATGGCTGGGTTTTATCTTTAATTTCATTGCACTGTGAAAATAGCTTTCACTAAAAATTTACTAATGTACAAATTTTATTTTCAAAATGCCGTTATTATGATTGGGAATTTCATATTTAAATAGTACAATGTAATTTTATTATAATGTATGGGTTACATTACAGAGTGCTGAGGGGTAGGGATGTGAGGGCATGAGTGTGTGAGGGTAAGAATGTGCAAAGGTTAGGACTGTGCGAGGGCATGAGAGTATGAAGGTTAGGAGTGTGTGAGAGCATGAGTATGAATGTTAAGGGTGTGTGAAAGGTTAGGAGTGTGTGAGGGCATGAGTGTGCTAAGGTTAGAAGTGTATGAGTGCAAACACTGAGGGTGTGTGAAATGTTAGGAGTGTGCGAGGGCATGAGTGCGAACTTGTGTGTGAGGGTATGAATGTGTGAAGGTCAGGAGCGTGCATTGGCATGAGTGTGAAGGTTAGGGGAGTGTGAAGGCATGAGTGTGCAAAGATCAGGAGTGTGCAAGGGTATAAGTGTGAATGTTAGGGGTGTGCAAAAGGTTAGGAGTGTGTGAGGGTATGAGTGTGCCAGAGCATGAATGTGAAGATTAGGGGTGTGCAAAAACATGAGTATGTGAAGGTCAGGAGTGTGTGAGGGCATGAGTGTGTGAAGGTTAGAAGTGTGTAAGGGGTCTGGATGTGCAAAGGTTAGGAGTCTGTGAGGGTATAAATGTGCAAAAATTAGGAGTTAGTGAGGGTGAATGTATGCGAAGGTTAGGAGTGTGCAAGGGCATAAGTGTATGAAGGTTAGAAGCGTGCAAGAGTATAAGTGTGCAAAAGTTAAGGTTGTGCAAGTGTATGAACATTCGAGGCTATGAGTATGTAAAGTTAAGTTGAGTGCGAAAGTGAGGGGTATGCAAGCTTAGTTGTGTGTGAAGGTATGAGTGTGGAAAGGTTAGAGGTGCACGTATGAGTGGGTAAAGGTTAGGGGTGTGTGAAGGTTAGGGTTGTGCAAAGGTTAGGGGTATGCCAAAGTTAGGGATATACTACTCACCTATATGTGGTTGCAGGGCTAGTCATCTGGCTCCGCCTCTTTGCTGATCACTACTAGGTCCACTCTCTCCCGGCTTCAAGAGCCTTATTGTACCTCTTCTTTAAGCAGTGTATGGATCCCACTTCTATTACTTTACTTCCCAGACTGTTCCTCTTTCTTACAACTCTAAAGTCTGAAAAAAGTACTTCCTAGCATCCCCATGATTCACATTAATTTTCAACTTTCAGTCGTGCCCTCTTGTTCCTGTATCCCATCTCAGAAACATTGTCCTTGTTCACCTTGTCAATTACTCTCAATATTCTGTGTGTCATTATCATATACTCCATATCCCTCCTATCCTCCAGTTTTATCAGACTGAGTTCCTTTAACCTCTCCTCGTAGGGCATACTCCTTAGCTCTGGGAGTAGTCTTTACAAACCTCTGCACTTTCTCCAGTTTCTTGATGGGCTTGACCAGGTGTAGGTTCCATACTAGTTAGGGATTAGTGGAGGCGAGGATTAGTACAAGTGTAAAACTGAAATCATAGTTGGTACAATAGGTTAATTTCAGCTGGTCTGAGAAGAGGTGTTAAAGTTGGGACTTTCAGCAAGGTCAGTTAGTGCGTGTTTTAGGGTGATGTAAGAAGTGAATCCTGCATGCCTATCATTTTCATTGATTTTTGCTTATAAAGCGGACAAGCTACTTAGATTTGGGGGCTGACAGGATGACCCAAGTAGTCCTTGCAGAGCAGTGCTGGTTATTTCTCTGTATGCTATCTGTACAGTGGAACAACAGCACTTGAACTTAATTGGTTCCAGAAGGTTGTTCAAGTGCCGATTTGTTCAAGTACAGAACAAATTTTTCCCAAACAATTTTCTTTATGGTTGGTTGTTATCACTAACCCTCTTAGGTCCCATGCTGACTTATTTATACAATATAAAAAAAAAAACACCAAAAAATGCATAGAAACATGAAATAGTTTACAACAAAGTTCTGGCAGGTCATATTTGTTTGGTCAAGTGCCGAGCAAACGGTTGACTACCGAGCAATTTGTTTACTGAACAAAGCATTCGAATACAGAATTGTTCGAGTATGGGACTGTTCTAGTACCAAGGTTCCACTGTGTGTCCTGTGTCCATTTTGTAAGTGTTCTCTAGCTCAACAGCAGTAGGAAGGTGGCCAGACTCTAATTTTTTTGCCAGCAGTTCCTGA